TCCGGCGCTTTTCAGCGGCTCTTTGCGCTATAATTTGGATCCTTTGGTCCAATACTCAGACCTCGAGATATGGCGGGCCTTAGAGTCGGCACATCTGAAGACATTTGTGGAGTCACTGCAAAGAGGTCTCAATCACGACATCGTAGAGAACGGCGCGAATCTGAGCGACGGTCAGAAACAGTTGGTCTGTTTGGCCAGAGCTCTACTCCGACGGACACGGGTTCTAGTGCTGGACGAGTCGACTGCCGGTGCGATACTAACCATTCATTACACTTGCATTACGTGAACTGATTATTGAGTCTTGTTTTACAGCCATTGATATGAAAACTGACGATAAGATTCAACAGATTATACGCAAAGAGTTTCAGTTCTCGACAATCATAACAATAGCCCATCGATTGAATACTATTATTGATTACAATTTAGTTATCGTTTTAAACAACGGATCGATCGCAGAGTCGGGAACACCGGAACAGCTCTTAGCGGACAACACATCCATATTCTACTCGATGGCCAAACAGGAAAAACTTGTCAAAACTACAAAATCAAATACTTTTAGTGTTAACGAATGGATAGACTAAATATCACTCATTCTAATTATACATAACTTTATTAAACAATATTTATAAATATATCAATTTCTTATAAAACAAACAGTGGGCGGAAAGTATGTCTTATTTTAAAAAGCTAATAACTCGTAAACTACAAGAGATATTTTAATCAAATTTTTTGCAAAAAATGCACAAAAGTATAGGATGATTGAATCAAGTTTTGAAAATTTTGGCAATCCATAGCGATCACGTCGCGGAGTCAAATTTCAAAATTGGCCATATCATGTCATATTTTAAAGGTCGCAATTACGAGAAATGAAAACACGTTGAATATACATCACATACATTCACTTAAATAGTTGTTCAAATTTTATTTCAGTTTTAATTAATATTTTACAAATGGCATGGTTTTGAAAAAAATGTGTCAAAAATATCTTTTTTGAAAATGGCGCCATTTGTAAACTAATAATTTAAAATAAAAACTAATGCTCAACTACTTAAGTAAATGTATAAGATGCGTGCTCAACGTGTGTTAATTATATCTAATGACCACTTCTAAAATATGACATTATTACCAGTGCGGTGGTCAATTTTGAAATTTGACGCCGCCACGTGATCGCTATGGATGGCCAAAATTTTCAAAACTTGATTCAATCATCCTATACTTTTGTGTATATTTTGCAAAAAATTTGATTAAAATATCTCTTGTAGTTTACGAGTTATTAGCTTTTTAAAATAAGACATACTTTCCGCCCACCCTGTACTTTTATATTGATTAATAGTTTCGGTTAAATGTTTATCAAGTTTTAATTTTTATGATTTATCTTAATAATAAATTTAAGCATTAATTTTGATTAATTCTTTTTTAATTGTGTAATAATTATTGTAAATTGATTTATTTTAAATACAAGAAACAATATAAATGCATATGTTTAATAAATAATAATTTTTAAATAAATATGCAATTCATGTAGTAATTATAAAATAAACAATTACAAATGTTTTGGAAGTTTTTTAAATTTATTAACATTAGTTATTCGCAATTAATTGTTGTTTTAATTTGAAATAATTGTCGTATGCGGTGTCACAGACTTTCTATAAAGAAAATCTATTATTCATAAAATATTTAATAATAAAATTTACTGATTAATACAGACCATCATTTTCTTTTTATCAAATGGTCGGTTATTATTAGTCAATTCATTGACATTCAATAAATATAGTACGAGAAACATTGTGGTCACTAATGTAAACACTTTTGTCTCTTTCAAAATGTGTTGAAATGTATTTCGGATATCGTTTGTAAACCTTATGCCCAATATTTTAGTCGACTCTTTAATGTAGGAATCAATAAACGGACGGATAGTGTTGTCGTCCGGAAACTTAACGTATCTTAAATGTTGGTGACAATTACGACCCCATCCCACAAATAGTGACCCAAAATCAAAGCCCCGGCAGCCGTAACAGCCGTACTCGAAGTCACAAATGACTAGACCATCACTTTCTGTGACCATAATATTATGTCCTCTAAAGTCTATGTGAGTGAAAGTCACCGGAGAATCAGATTCTGTAATTAAATCTTTTATCCATTGTATCTCTTCTTTCAAATCATGTGTTTTCAATGTCTCGCAATTGCATTCATCGATCAGAGCGTTAATATCAAACATTTTGTACGCCTTGTTATACGAATCTTCAAAATGATCAAAAATCCAATTCTGAGTCTTCTTTATGGGAACAACTGTTGTGTGAATTCCCGCTAACTTATGGGCCAATTCTTGGACCAGAATTGGATTCTTTTGATCATTCAATTCAAACCATTCGTGCTTTAAGTTTAAGAAAGTATAGTTTAATGTATATTTATTTTAAATTTATGCAGTTATACCTTATAATATTTCATAATCTGACCATGCTCAAACAATCCATACACTTTTGGTCCCAAACCATTCTCAGTAGGGAAATATCTGTGGTGGAAATTGCCAACCCTATTGATATTAGTATGAATATGTGCAGAATTGTCACCAGATGTTTAATAAATTGTCAAAACCGGCGAATGGCCAGAGACGTTAGCGTACTGGTCAATTTCCAAATCACGCGTCTATTGCTTATAGCATTGAAAAAAGGTGATTCACAAAATGAATGGTTGATCACATGAATGTAATGCTATAAGCAATAGACGCGTGATTTGAATATTGACCAGTACGCCAACGTCTCTGGCCATTCGCCGATTTTGACAATTTATTAAACATCTGGTGACAATTCTGCACATTTTCATACTAATATCAATAGGGTTGGCAATTTCCACCACAGATATTTCCCCCCTCAGACATAATCGTCGAAATAATAGTGTCATTAAATCTTTCATTTTCTGAATTATTAAAATGTTTTTCCAAATATAATCTAATGACCACTTCTTGCGGCACATCTCCGGCACTCAGTCTCTTGTCTTCATTGAAAGCGCAATAATACAACTGATTAGTGGCGCCTCCCGTCAGACGCTTCACTTCGATGTCACCGACGGTTACGTTAAGCCAAACGCCTCCCAAATATTCACGACATAAATCATAACATTTCTCTTTAATACGAGGAGGTGTCGGACCCCTCAGTATATTATTTTTATTGAATTCTGTCATTATATTGTAAATATTAAAGAAATTAAATATAATGTGTAAAATACAGTTACACTATAACCATAATATTAAGCCGTTCAAAAAAACTTGTCGCCTCAAGAATCGTTATATCTCCCAAACGGAATGAGCTAGATCAATTCTGTAAACTGTAAAATGATGGTCCACATATCTAGTTTTTTGTATTAAAA